GAGATTGAGAATGAGAATGGCACCTTCCTAAGGCCATTGGTGAGTTCAACCAGAACTGCTCGGTTCATCAAGCCTTTCCTCACTAGTGAACTGGAGGACTTTCTACCTATCCTTGAATCAGCAGAAAACTCTACTGGCACAAAATGTGTTGTTCCTGTTGCCAATCACTCTGGCTCTGTTCCCAGTTCTGTCAATCCCTGCTGGCTGGCTGGGGGAATTTTGGGAGTTGAAGTCCACACATCTTAACATTGCCAGGGTTGAGAAATACCACTTTAACGTGATCAAAGCTAACAAATTTTGCATGGCTTGAGGCAATGAAAGGGAAAATGCCACTAACACTGCTTTAGCTAAGGATGGCTTAAACCTGTCTTGCTCATGGCCAGGACAAGATGAAATTGTTATGGGTTCACGGGGAAAAAAAAAAAGAGGTTGCAGGGCCATGGTTTGGTAAGCAGGAAAGTCCCAGCTTGTAGCCTCTTAGCTGCTCAATCTGCTGCCTGTTCAGACCAACCTCTTTAACACATTTCAACTGCTGTACCATCTCATCTCGTTTTTCTTCTAAGGCCTTGATGCAGTTCTTCAGAGCAGCCAGACTTTCCTGAAGATTCCTCAGCTCGTGGCCAACATCCAGCTTTTCCTGGATCTAAAGAGAGTATTTCTGTTCTTCAGCTTGCACTCTTATTTTGTAGAGCTCAAAGCAACCCAGGTCATCTCCCTATTTTAGCCAGCAGCAACCTCCATCACCCTGATCATTTCCTCTTCTTAGCAAGCTAGATTGATGGGAACCAGCAGCTTCTTCTGGACCCCCTAGTGGTCAGTGTGGCCAAGGGGGCTTTGGACCCAGAATTATTCAGCCCGGGTCATCCCTCCAACCATTACATCACATAGCCTCTCAACTGGAGGGACATACTACCAGGACCGAGCTGAGTAAAGAGGATAAATGCATCTTATCATTTGAGGTGGGGACATTATATTTGTGGTGACAAAACCTCTAAAACTGACAATCTGGAACGTCTTAACAGTTACATGGCCATGCCTCCCATACATTTTGCACAAGGTGTAATGCAAAAGCAGTGATTTATTTTACAGAAGGTGATGTGCAAAAATATTGATTTTGTGCCCTGTCTCCCAAGCCTTGCAAAGCTACTTCAGCAACACCCCTAGCTTTAGAGAGTTCAAGAGACATCATAGCAGCCTTCTTCATCCAAAGGTCTTCCTGATGTGTTGCACCACAATTCCCATAGTTCCTCAGGTAGCTTGGCTTTTGGAGCATGGCTACCCACACACAGGCAAGGGATGGTGGGAGTATGGTCCAACAGACCTGCAAAGACCCAGCTGGTGCAAGCTAGACCACATATTTATATTGCAAATGCCTCTTTGAAGCCATGAAGGATTAAAAAAATACAGAGATAGTCAGGAAATTCCATTCTCCTACCACGCACCTCCTCTGCACCATGGTAAAATTCTGCATTGTTGCAGAATTGCAGAATAAACCTAACTTAAGTTCAGTGCTATTTTAGCCCTACATGTCAGATTTGAAAGGTTTTCCTTACCACATTTCCCTTTGGTTTCAAACCCTGGGAAAGCAAGTGGCGGTCCCTTTTACCAAAATAAGACTTTGCCTTTGCCAACTCCATTTCTACCTTGAAGATCCTGAAAGACACACCAGACAAGAATGAGGCTTCCCAAATCTCCCACTGATGCTAGGAATTGTTAATAGAAATGCCTTGTTTTTCCAGAAGCAACAAAATAGCCACATGGTTATGAAATAATGACCACCTCCAAGAGTGGACAGAGTTGGCTTCTCTTGAAGAACAGCATCTAGAAGCTTATGGCATTCAGAAAATATCAATATCGTTTCCTTTATTTCTGCTGTTCAGAGTGGGGCAGCCAAAACAGTACCATCCATGGGTGGGAAGAACCAAAAGGTTTGCAGAACCACCATTAAAAATACTTAGAGGAAGGAAAGACATAAAGATGGGGAATCCAAAAGCAATTTAGTGGGTGCTGAGTTCATTATGCCCAGTGAAGTAGGCCAAGCAATCTGAGCTGCTATTCTGAGACCTCAGAAAGTTAGCTGGCAGTTTAGATGTGGGACTGAAGACCAGCAGGAAGAATGGGAGTATCTAATGAAATCCTGAATATGGGATAAATCAGTAATGGCTTATAGTGAGCCTCCAGTTTTATTATGCAAAGACCTAGCTCTCTGGAGAAGGCTCTGATGCTGAGAAAGGTGGAAGGAGAGAGAAGAAGAGGATGACCAACAGCAAGGGAGATGGATTTGGTTACAATGGCGATGGGTGCACTGCTTGAAGACCTGAAAGACTAGGTTAGGGACAGATTGTCATGGAGAAAATCGATCGATATGGTCGCTAGCAATTGAAAACGACCTGATCACACATAATCAAGTTTTATATTGGTTCTGAATTTGATCTCCACAGGAGATTTTTTAAGGCAAATTCTAATCTCTTTCTGAGGCTGTGAAAACAGAACACTTGTGGGAAGACTGCTTGCAAAGGGTTTGTACAACACCCACTCCTGTTCTCAAAGAAGAGCCCTACTCACTTATCATCCAGTTCCCCTTTTCGTTTCCTGCCTTCGGAACGAATCATTTCCAACCACTTTTTTTCCTTTTCTAGGTGGATAAAGGAACTCTCCATCTGCTGCAGGAAAGACAAAGAGTCAGGGGAAATTTCAGGCATCCCTACCTATTTACCAGAGCCTTGCAGAAGAAAAATCCGTATTTTCTTCTTTACAATTCTGTTTGACAACAGAGAATTTGCTTTAGAAATTCTTTCACAGAGAAGATAATTTGGGTGAAATTTTCTTGGGTGGTGGTAGTTTTATCACACCAAAGATCCATACGCCACAGCTTCTCTGGATCAGTGTTTCTCAAACCTGGCTACTTTAAGATGTGTGGACTTCAACTCCCAGAATTCTCCAGCCAGCATTCTGGGAGTTGAAGTCCAGACATCTTAAATCTACCAAGGTTGAGAAATGCTGCTCTGAATACTCAAGAGTGGCATTCACAGCAGCTAACAAAAGTCTATAGTTTGCAAGTTTGGGAGAGATCATACATTACCTTCTGTTTAAGGGAACATAGCTCAAATTCCATCATGTCAACTTCCAACTCCAGGTTCCGTTCTCCAGGGTTGTTAGGAGGTCCTGCAAGCAAGCTGGCACCTTCTCTAAGCTTCGCGTTCCTTTGTGTCTCTTCCAAAAAGGTTGCTTGCAGATCCAGCTGGGAGCCATTCCACATCTTTCGAGCCAATGGCTGATCGGAATTAAAGTCCTTGGTATTATAGTTAGGGAGGTGAGATAAGGAATTCCTCCTTCTAAGGCTTGAACTGGGAGGTTGCATGCTGTACCCCATGCGTCTTGTAACATCCCTGCCAAGAATAAATATGTTCCATTTTGCATTTTTAAAAGGATTTTGAAGACGGAACTTCAATCAGACCTTATGGTGGGTACATAAAAGAACCATAGCCATGCTGGTCCGGGGGTGAACCCCAAACCCATAATTGGGCCATACTGCTCTTAAAAATAAGTTCTGCTTTGAAAATTTCCCAGTCTAGCCTACAGATCTGAGATTTCTTGTTGGCATCTTTCTAAGTACTAACCAAGTCCTATCCCTTCTTACGTTTTTCATGATGAGCCAATGCCAGCTGGGTGCTGCTGTCGGTTTAGTTTTCTTTGGCAGCAACCGTCAGTTAGGTGCTGCCCTCTAGCTGACCGTATCTCAAGACCAATCAAAATGGCATAAGAAGTGGTATGACCTTTCCAGATGTCCAGAAGATCTTTATCAGTGAAAATGTGACTGAAACCACATGGGAAAGCAGCAGGAATGTCCAATAATTAGGCTACACCAGAGATCAGTAACATTTTGGGGCTGGGCACAGGTTTGAAATGTTGAGAATGAGTAGTGGACATGCTCCCAAAATAACTGTTGTGGGAGACCTGCCCATAGTGGACAAGGACACCCATTTTCCAGAAAGTACAATAATCCCCAGGATGTTTTCTACCATCCTTCTATGACCTTGGTGAGGCCAAAGGCATTCCTGCAAATAAATATGGTGTTAGAAGTTGAGACTTTAGTTTAGCATCAGAATGCAGTGGTTAACACATGGGACTTGGACTAAGGAGACCCAAGTTCAAGCCCTCACCCAACCACAGAGGCCAAATTACTCCAGCCTGGATCGATTGTTCTTCCTGGCTGCGGTGCAGTTACATGAGAGTAAGAGCAGATTTTGAACAGACACCCATTTGGTTCTGGGCCAAAGCTTCCCCCCTTCATATCTGTGTTTTCCAAACTTACATTCTGTTGCCGTTGTCCTGAGCTCCAGGCTGGAGGCTCGCAGATCCGGCTCTCGGAAGAGGTCCCAGGTGTAGGGATTTCATGCTGGCTCCTCTTGGGGTGCTTCTTGGGCTGATGAGCTCCAGGGCTGCTGTTGTCCCATTGGTCTCTAGCTGAAGGAGTGGAAAGAGAAAAGACGGAAAGGGTTTCAAAACTTGTGTGAATGGATACCAAGTGAAAGTGTCCAAAATTGGGTTTGGTGCTGTTCCAATGGATGAACTAACAAGCATGCTTAAACCTTCACAGCCAAACTGCACATTGGCTCTGCTTGTTGGGCCAAGTCAGGACATGTGCTTTGTTTGTGATCCAGTATGCTGCAGGAACCCGAGATATATTCAGAAAACCGTGTCATGTGAAAGAAACTACAGGTAGTCCTTAACTTACGACCACTTGCTTAGCGACTCTTTGAAGTTACAACAGCACTGAAAAAAGTGAATTGCAACCGGTCCTTGCGCTTACAACCATTGCAGCATCCCTGCAGTCACGTGATCGCAATCTGGGTGCTTGGCAACCCGTTTGCATTTATGACTGGTTGCCAACCGCCCTGCAATCATGCGATCACCATTTACGACCTTCCCAGCCGGCTTCCAACAAGCAAAGTCAGTGGGGAAACTGGCAGGGAAAGTCACAAGTCACAGTCACATGATGCCTCACTTAAGGACCACACCGCTTAACAATGAATTTTCCAGTTCCAATTGTGGCCCTAAGTCGAGGACGACCTATAATGAGGTTGACACTTGGTTGTGCCAAGGAGTTCAGCAGGGAATGGCCAACCTAGTTCCCAAGGTTGTTACAGGTGAAAGGATTAGAAAGAACAAGGGAAAGGAGAGCTCCTTGGAGAAAAGATGGAAGAAAATATGTCATAAATACATACATATGCAGTCTGGCAATTAAGATGCCGGACTGGAACAAGGGAGACCCACCTCACAGGGTCACTGTTGTGGGGAAAATAGGAGGGAGGCAGCATTAGTATGCACACTCCCTAAGAAATATGGGATATAAATAAAAGTGCACTGACCTGAACAGGTAAGAGCCAGCAGAAAAAACTGAGCACTTACCTGTGATGGAATCTTTGAAGGAAGGACATTATCTGCACCAATCTTTTCCAGCCCAGCTGCCGAAAGTGACTGAGAGAAGGACGCGGGGCTCCCTCTGGTATTTTCTGCCTCTTGGCTGGGAAGACCCGAGCCTCTTGTGTCCACCGAGCTGTGTTGGAAACCTCCATCAATGCCTCCATATCGGGAAGGCAAACTCCGAAATCCACTCCACTTACGGAGTAGCATTTAAGGAGCTGAGAATCCCAGGAAATCTTCTCTTCCCTGAGCAATGTGCAGGGATCGATGTGGTGATCCAATCTGGAGTCTTGACTGATTGAAGTTTGCAGCAGAGGGAGCTGGCAGAATCCAGTCTGAGGAATCTGAAAAATCTATCACCCAAAATGGGGGTGGGGGGGAAGTATTTCAAAAACTAGTATTGTTCCCAATGCATAAGAAAGTTTCTTCAGAACAGAATGAAATGTCCCGCAACCAGGACATTTAAAACAGTCCCAAACTTGTTCCCCCAATTATGTTCAGAAGTTCACATTCTCCTCCCGCACGTAGAAGGCCTTCATTCATATAACATACTTTTGATTGAATTAAGACAATGATCTAAAAGGTAATTGATTCTCATTTCCTAACTTTAGTCATAAATTCACTAGATGGCTTAAGCCATTACTCTGCAAGGCAGTTGTAAAAAAGACTGTTCAATTTATTAAACACTCCATGATAATGCGTTATTTAATTCAGCTAATTTCTTAACTATAGTTATAAAAACAAGATCTTTAAGAACACATGTGTAAGTCTGAGTTTTAAATGCTTTACCTACTGTAATATTGAACAATGCATTTTATTAGTTGAACTGTTTTATCTAATGCCAAATTTTAGATTATATTTATACGCTGCTATTTGGATCTTTCAGCCATAAATAAACTCTCTCTCTTTCCATTTATTTCAAGGGCAAACATCAACAGTCTGAAATACAATCAAGTCCAGTAAGTCAAGAATGCAAAACAAAGATTTGCTGATCCAGGGTTAAAATGATAGGAATGCAGAAAACGACAACAAGAGAAAGAATGAAAAAACCTGAGGAAGCGGCGCAGCCTTTGATGGACCCAAAAAAGAGAAGGTGGGAGTTTTACCTGGAAAAATTCTGCTAAGAGGAGAAAGAAATAGAATGCCCAAATTAAACAAGGTAAGGTAGCAGAGGCGCTGTTGGGAAGAGACCCCAGGAAGAAACAGATTCTCACATCCCACTGAAGCTCACACATGGGTAGAAGGAAGGTTCCACAGTCAGAGAGCAGATGCGTGGAAAGCTAAGTTTTTCCAGAGGTCCGTACCGTTGAGCAAACGAGCACAGCATTGTGCTAAAGGGGAAGTCATAAAGAAGAAAGGGATTCAAGAAAGCGATGATCATGCCCGCTTACCTCTTAATAATCAGTGCGGCCAAGTGGAGATCTCAGATGTTCGTGGGGGGTGAGCAAGAGTCTCCCCAGCTGATCAGCCTGGCTTCTGTGTGCACTAACTTTCCCCACGCCAAGAGGAACAGGGCAGTTGCTGCTATGGAAACTGTGGTGGCAACAGTCTCAGCGCTCACTTGCTTTCGGGAGACTGGTCATTGTGAAACATAGTCACCTGCCAGATAAGGAGAAGATAAGGAGAAGAGGAAAGAACCAAGGGGAGAAAGGCAAACTTTGCTGGTTGCTCCTTTAGCTGTGCAGATGAGCCATTCAATGGCAGTGGCTTTGCTCATTCGTTGGGAGGAGGAAAATAATCAAAAGTCATTGTCTGGCGTGATATGTCAGCATATCAAAATATAAAAAGCCCCAAAGAAATAAACAAGTTTTGAGTTCGTTGACATTTGCCAGCAGGCTGGATTATTAAAGCTTCCAAAAACAAGAGGTGGAGGAACAAATGAAGAACACGTTCAGACCTTACTGAGCCGTACTTTGTTTAAGATGGTTTGTTGAATAAGGAAGTGGTGGGATTTAACGTGGTCCGTTGAATAAACAATCGGCAGGAAGCATAGATGGCATGAAGCCATTTATAAATCAAGCGGCTGTATTCATATATGAAGCCCAAGCCAATTGCATCAACGGTTTGTGTTTGCACAATGGGCCAATCCATGATCTGCTGAATCACAATTGCTAGTTAACCCAGTTGTCTGGAGTCACAAGAGTATTAAATCGTAAAATGAATGCCAGCTAGATTTGCACAACTTCATTTACATCAGGGTTCCTCAACCTTGGCAACTTGAAGCTGTGTGGACTTCAACTCCCAGAATTCCCCCCCCCGCCCAACCGCGTCTGGGGGAACTGTGGGGGGTATGCCCACCACCCCCAGATAGCGCCCTGTGGAAGAACCCATGGGAAAATTATATTTTAAATC